AAACTATTTCACGCGAAAGTAGTTGCGGTCACCTTCAGCTTTCTGGAGCACACGGTGGACATCGTCAAAATCGACTGTCTTCCAGTACCTGGCGTTGAATTTGCATTTGGAAGTACATCCCATAAAATTATTGAAGTAGTATCATCTACAATGCGTCACAGTCTCTATGCAGTCCGCAACTTCAAGAACAAAGATATTGTTTTTAGGAAGACAGTCAATGGGATCTAACCAATTCACACAGTCACAATTTTTGTTGTAAATTTGAATCTAACGACCTATTGTAGAAAATGAACGAGGTGCTTTACGCTTAAGCGAGCATAACCACGTCTGCTGGGTGCATGCATTCACCAAGGAGTTGTTCCTTCTGGCTCTCGCGAAGAGTTTATTCCTGAAGTCTAAACACATTGTATGTGAACTGCATGGACAACGGTTCGATCCGACTGACAGCCAACATCTTTTTTCTTTGGGTTCGACATGCTCTACAGTATTTCGTCCCAACAAATTTTAGTTGATAATAATAAATCTGTGGTGTATTATCGGATATGTTCTTCAACCTTTTGTGCATGAGAAGTGTGCCTTACAACTCCAACATACCAGTCGACAAAAAGTAAAGACAAGCCCGTCTCATGAGTCAGGAAAAAGGGAATATCGATTATTTCGCAGAGCTGAGGGCCTTGTCTGTAATTTATCAAGAAGTCGAGTACGCGTAGCTGATTCGGTTGTCGCCACTTCGAGGGTATCTCACACCAAACGGTGTTTAATCCTGTAAGTGTTATGATCCTAATAAGCTGTAATGATGAAAAGAAAGCTTAAGTACTGCCGGAGAAAACGAATATCACGAAAATAGATTGGAACAACAGAGTCTTTGTAATTACTGAAATGTTATGAACTGGAGCCAGCAAGCAGCCTTAGGTCAAACGATCTGGAATAGGATCACCGATAATGGTTAGAAGAAGTCTGTGCAACATTTAACCCTTACTAAAAGGCATATAATGCGGGGAGTTTACAAGAAACGGACTGCGTCACCGAAAAAATTGCACGCCTCCCTAATTCATACAACGTTAAAGAAAAAACCACTGCCGCTGAAGGTGCTTTAACTTAAGAATATTCATTGATGGTACAGATATGATGTGACAGGTAAATAACATAGACAAATGAGTAAAAGCGGGCTTCAATCATTGAACTTTGGATAAAAATTTAACAAAAAACACGGACCTTATGCGCAAGTTCGTACCTCAAAGGTCAGGACCTTCATGGTCTTGTTGGCATTCTTAAGGATAAAGTTGAGAATAACATAGCAGCCAGCGGACTGTAGGGGATTTCGATCCATCTACGAAAGGAAAGAATGCGGTAACGTCAGTGAAGATAAAGACTCTGATCACCTGAACACTATTTTTAATAAATACAGAAGGCACGGCAAGGGCGAAATGATTGATGTCTTTGGGCGCTCGAGACTGGTTCAGGAATGTTCACAGCTTAGGACTGGAATTAAAACCTTAAAGAGAGTGCTATACGTCTAACAGTAAGTGTATACGTGACTATCTGTAATGTTTTTTCCCAAACATATTTACCTCAGGCCATCCTGAAAAACACTCTTAGTGCAGTATAAATGAAACCTAGAGAGGTGAAACGATAGAGAAAGACGAAGAACATTTATTCTACAGACGTTTATAATAGTAGAACTCGAAAGTCAAGTCAGGCATCATCAATAAATCGCAATTGGGGGTAGTTGCAGTTCGGACTGGTCGGCTACAATGGCAGATTTTCCAGCGAATTAGGGACGACCTGGAGGAGTCGGACACTGTATAAGCCACCAAAATAACATGTTTTATTAGTCGGTGTTCGTCTAAATTCGGTAAGCTGTCCTTCAACTTCCAAGTCCCAGGTTTCCATAGACAGTTTGGTTTCAAACAAACCGTAGATCGTGGAAAAAGTCTACTTACATGTCATATTAATATAAACGAGCATCTGCGAACATTTGTCTAGGAAATTTTAACTAAGCGAATACGGAAGAAACCACCCATTTTCGATGCAAAAATAAAAAAATAGAGACTCAAATTTTCCAAAACCACAGCAAAAATATGCAGCCATAGAGGTCCATAAATAAAAAAAAATGTTAAAAAAGATGAGTGCGATGACTAATGAACTTCCTGACTTGTCTCATCAAGAATAATTAACTAGGCTTGCCGCAGAGATTGAGATTTACAGTTGCCGACAGGCTCAGAGCCAGGGAATAAGAAGGACCGAAGTCGCCGAAATATTGTCTGCTACATTTCTTTCAAGCGAGACTTCACAAATCTTACGCTTTAAGTCTACTCTTGGTAACTATAGAAGCCTTCTTCCAACGCCACGTGCGCTTATCCTACGGAATAACATATCTGAACAATAAGATCTACTGAATTATATCAGTAGCTATAAACACTTACCTTAAGAATCTTCAGGGCTGGGTTGACCTGGAGCCCCTTACCAAGGAGAACTGCACCCTCTGGAGAGATTCTATTGTCACTGAAAGAAGAAGGTAAAATAACTTCACTATTTTTGCGGTCTGTGCTGGGAAAGTGCAATGAATAAACAATTTCTTGGCAAACTCCGGCGAAACGGAATAACGAATGGGAATGCGTCCACCCCAGCGTTGTTCCTGTCCACCAGCGGTTTCAAAAGTGAAAGGAGGTACTTTCCCAATCTTTAGGAAGACAAATACAATAAGGCTATTTTCAAAATTTCCAAATGACATTCGAGCTCACTTTGGTTGAGATGCGACAAGAGAAAACTGAGATACGGGACCATTCAAGTTTCCCGAGAATATCTGTATTGAATTCACAACATCGGAAGGTAACAAAGACTTTTGAATTACAGGCACAGCTTCTAAAACCTATCAACCTGGATATTGAAAAAATCACAAATTATGATGAAGCGCACATTCAGACGAGATATTTATGACATTTGAATGAGGAGTTTGGGTTGTATCTGGGAAAGGAACTTAGCGCAGAGTAAGATCGCTTTGGGCATAGTGGCTCCAAAACGGATTCCCCTCATGAACAAAATCCCCACGGTTGCCTTGTGTAGTTTTTAAAGGTAACCGAAACGCAGTTATAGACTGATTCTCCTTCAGTCTGTCGACGTTGTTTAGACAGATAACTCTTGAGTGGTTACTGTTCAAATAGACTTCGAAATTATAATGACTAATGATATGCAGATAAATGGGAAACTTTGGAATTATAGAAAAGACTAGCACACCCACCCCTTTCTCATAGTAAGATGACAAAAGTTTATCACATGAGAGGTGTCTAATATTATTTCTTGTGTGATGCAGACCTTTCCTCTTCAAAGTAGCCCTACTGGACTAACAACTGTAAACTTGAGGATTTTACCATAAAGGTGAAGGAAATCTGCTAAATAAACCTAAGCTAAACCAGCCACTGTAACTCCGATTATTAATGTTCACCAACCGCTAACGAAACTCACTTGAGGTTGGGTATGACTGGCTGACGACGATTAATCAGCACGAAATGGTCATTCCAGTCCTTCCTGTCTTCGCCGACAATACTATCTGCTTAGATACTGTTTTCTCAGTCTGCGAGCACACGGGGTTTTTCTTATCCCACATGGCTCTTTTTATTTGGAGCCATGAGTGTTCTGCAAGATGCCGGCCTATAGCACGTCGGTCGTTGATTGGCCGTGGGAAAATCATCTTGTAAGAAAATCTCGAATATTAGACCAACTTATGTTTCGGTACTTGACCAGTCTTTTTTTTACTCATGCAAATACCTCGAACGTGAACTTTCATATTTATTCACGTAGTTAACTCTTGTAGATACTACCAAGAAAGGCAAGCCGATTAATAACTCTTTTGAGTTATTGGAAATACACCCGAAATGGACTAACGACCAGTCAAGGAGCGACGATATTCGGACACCCAAAAGTCGGTGCCCTGCACACTTATACATTGAGAGCAAATATTTGGCTTGAACTTTTTTGCTTGATGTAAATAAACTAGAGCTACGCATAACACATATTGTATTCCTCTTTCGCTTCTACTGTCGCTGTCTCAAGTAAAGGTTTGCGTCCAAGATGAACCCTTCCGCAGTATAAAAATGTTTACGGCTTATGCTCTAACTCCCAAAATGCCACATAAAATAACTGCTTGTGCTTGAAATACGATTGGGAAATTACAGTCATTTTATAACATTTGAGGGGAGGGACAATATATTGGTCTAATACAAGCGAACATGCGAGTCCCAGGAAGTAATTGAGAAGAAAACGACTCGAAACAGCGATCGAGTCGTCTACATCTTGATATGGGTCTAACACCTGCAGTTTTGGGATGCATCCGCTCAGATCTTGAAAACTGCATATCCTACCTACTTTGATGCAAAAGAAACTGCTGGAGGCGGTTTATGTCAACCCGTTTCACCCAAAAACATACATACCTGAGATCAAGCTCTTCAAGCACCAAATTGGCTTTGATTCCGATGGCCAACTCCTTGCAACCATTTATGGGGCCAAGACCGTTGTAGGCTAAGTTGAGTTTTTTCAGAGGAGAGGCCTATAAAACAATAGATCCGGAAGTCAAGGAAAACGAATTTTTGGTCATAAGTGTATTGAGCAGAATGTTAGTTGTCCTCGGGTGTGTCCCTTATACACTTACAGTTCAGAGGAATGCATGTTCCGCGCAGCCCCAAAACAAACTGCTAAATATAGCAGGCAGTCCTTAGGCGTCGCGCCTGCGGCCGACTGCGAACAACGATTCCTTCGTCAACAGCGAACTGCCGCAAGGTCATATGCCCTCACTGTGACTGACCCCACTCGATGACCTTAAACCGCTAGACCGGACACACACACACGTGCGCACACG